ATATCTTGAAACATTTGCCCCAGCAGCAGGCATGTACCCGCAAAATCACCATTTCCATTGTAATTTTGAAACACGCTCCACGTTCACTGGTCGAATTTGCTGCGCAATGGACCCGCTCTTGCAGTCTAACAGCAAAGTAGCATTCATCCCACACATATCTCTTTTTGAAAACGTAGCGACGCTCAGTGAAAGCGCTCCTTTTCTCAAGTGATCTTGAGCTTACACGGTGATAGGCGGTACTGGAGTCATGTTCACACCCTGCCTTTTCATGGGCGCGACAGTTCAAAAGCTCAAAAGCGTCCATGAAATCTAGTCGGCGTTCACCGTCTAGGTGCGCTTATTCGATTTCCTCGGGCTGGGGCTCATCTAAAGTCTGTGCGTCGTCATTTCGACGAAATTCCACCTCCATTGCAATTGCAGCTGCTGCTACTGCTGCTCTCTCTTCTTCTTCTCCGCGGCGTTCTGAACTCTCTCAGCATCCTTGGTGGTCCATAGTTTGCGGCAATCCATCCATCAGGCCATTCGCTCTCTTCCAATCTGCAATGGACGCTCTCATGGCCCTTCTTGATGTGGTAGGTGTACTGGCGCAAGCTTCTCAAGTACTCAGTCACCTCTTTCCTCGTCTCCGCTCCAGTGATCATCAGCATCCTCTGGAGCTCCCTGAACATCTCCATCCCTGTTGGGATGTCCTCATCCGCAGGGTCTTCTTCCATCATCTGGCGAAATTGTCTCACCTTCATTGTCATGATGATGTAGACTTCGATGCCCACATCTTCGCGGTGCCCTTCCAGACTTCCATAGTCTGTAGTCAGGCTGTGTTCTGACTCTTCATCTTCTTCCCTTTCTCTCCTCTCTGCCCATGTTTCCAATCTCACCATTCTCGCGCGCACTTCTGTCTCATGAATGTAGCCATCATCGTCAACGTATGAATATGTGCTTCTCCTCACTTCTGCGTCGCGCTCTTCTGCTTCTTCCTCGATTTCTTCACCCCGTCGTGGGCCAACAACGTCTCTAAAACTTAATCCAGAATCGCCTGCCCCTGAACCCTTCGGGTTCTTCATCTGTCTCATCATTCTCACGTCGATTTCTGTGACCTGATGGCGAGTTTGACCAATTCTGCCACTCTATGCTCGGTCTTGTTGCCATCTTCTTGGAGCATTCCACAAACTCAAATCTATCCTTTTCGGGTCTGTCTGAAGTGTAGTTCTCACCTTCCCCAACCACACTTCGAAGTGTGTATCCCAGGAAGTTACATGTCTCCTCAGCTCTCTTGCCGCATTCTTCAAAGCCTTCAGCAAGATCAGGAGGACAATTCTCAGGATCACACTGGCCATTGTCAATCCCATCACGACTTGCTCTAAAGTCTCACATCCTGTCGCCTTTCTCCCAAGCAATCCCTGCCAGGCTCAAGGCTGAATCCGCAAGCAATGCTGTCATCGTGAGCCTCAACAATCTCTTGGCCAGTTGGTTCGACTGCGTAGACTTCTCTGATGCACCTTCTTCCAAAAACACCATCCTTCTTATTACTTCTTGCAGCCTTTTCTTCTGGTCCTGCTTCATCCTCTCAGCCTCAAACTCTTCTTTGCCCAACTCTCCTGAGTCGTGTGTGAACCCCATGAGGAACAACAACACGTTCACTCTCTTTCCTCCAAACGCCTTCGTTCCAATGTCTGCAGGGTTCGTCATAGTGTCAGGTTTCGTGAGGTCTAAGTCTCGGCCTTGTCTCTGCTGAAGCCATAGCAACCTTCCGCTCAAATGCTTCAGCTTCCCAACGCTTCTTTCTGAGCAATGGCGAGACTTGAGTTGTTGTCGCCGTAGACTACCAGCCTCACAGGTTCACCTGTCAAATGCTCAATGGCTGCTTTCAACAACAGACCTTCTGAAGCGTTCGACACCAGGGCAACATACTCAGCCTCTGTGCTGGACAAGGTGATGTTCTTCTGGGTCCTGGCGTAGGAATGAATCCAGTTACCTGCAAGGAAAATGCATCCAGCCGATGTTGAACTCCTCGTCAACTTGTTCCCTGACCAGTCTGAATCGCACGTCGCCTCCAAAAGCCATACTCCTTCTTCTTCAAACGTGGGAGCACTGGTGAGTCCTCTTGCACGGTTCGCTCTGGCTTCTCATCACCACATGCGCAAGTAGCCAACCAGCTTCTGCAACGCCTTCCGTGCACCTTCTGTGGGACTTTGGAGTCTTCCAGCCAGCTCTTTCACGTGGAACTGAATGTCCGGCCTGTCACCTGCCATGCACAGCAAAGTTCCAACCGCTGACCTGTAAATTGGCCTTCTCCAATCCTCCTCCTCCATAGTCTTTCCATCTTCTATTCCTGCTCCAGGTGTCTTCGACTTCTTGACCGGGCTCATCATCTTCACAAGGTTGTGGACGTACTTCTCATTCACCGTCATCTTGGTTTCTGAGGCATCCACCATCAGAGTCCTCTTAAGAAGCTCAGCGTGGTCATCCTCCACCGACACCTTGTAGCGCTTCTTCAAGTGGTCTGTGACTCTATACCCACTTCCTTGTTCTCTCCTCCAACGATCATGTCGTCGACGTGGACCAGTAAGATCACATCCTGGCCTCTCCACAAAGTCGGTGCCTCAGCACATGGCTTGAGCCCTGCCTCACTCACTCTCCTCCTCAACTCCTGAAACCATTGCGCTGCACCTTCTCTTTGTCCTGCCAGGATTCGGCCAAGTCTCTCTGCAAGGCCTTTGTCCAAGCTCACCTTCACCTTCTGTGGCTGCGAGTGCATCAGGTATGCGTCCTTGACATCCATCATGATCATCTTCCAGCCCTTGACTTGGTAGATCGCTGGTACCAAGCGTAGCAGCGAATGCACTCCTGCTGGCGCAAAGACATCAGTCCTGTTAGGATCGCACCGGGCAAAGTCTCTCGCGAACAGTCTTGCCCTTTTCTTCCACTTGTTCTCTCGCCGCTGTTAATCTATTGCAGTTTGGTTGTTAGCAATGGAACGCCTTCAAGGTCTTCGCCCTTTCCTGGTGGCATCAAGACTGTCATGCCAATCAAGCTCTGGGTCTCTTCCTTTGTGGCCTCATCTTCAACCTCTGCAAGCTCAACCTCTGTCAGTTCTGGTAGCTGATCTGGGAACTCTCGTCCCCATCTGGCAACAACTCTCCAGCAACCACCTTTCGAATCGTTGAAGCTGATGCTGCTTCTTGTTCGTCCTTCTCTCAACTTGCCTGTCTGGTCTTTTGCATCTTCTTTGGCGTCGATCTTGGCATCTTCTTTGGCATCTCGTTCTCAACGTCACCTTCTCCTCCTGAACGCTTTGGACTGTCCATAGGGCTTCACCTTTACAGTGGGTTCTTCCAAGCTATCAAACAGGTCTTGCAACAATGCATCGTCCGTGATCACCAGACCTCCCTCACCTTTATCTTGATCTGGTCGAATCGGAGTGTAATCACTCATGTCTGGGTCCTCAACCTTTGCTGCTTTCTTCATCTGCCTCTGCCTTCCTCTTTTCTCCTCCTGTCTCGTCACCCTTCAGCCTCGCCTCATCCTCCTTCTTCTTCAACTTCTCCTCTCTTGCCAACTTCTTCTCCTCTGCTTTGATCTCTGTAGGGAACTTGCCCGCCAATGACGAAGCTTTGCACCAATTTGGCCAAACCCAATGCTCCATGGCCAAAACTTCACATAGGTCACGGCTTCTGGGTCGAAAGGAGTTGGCAACCTCCTGATGGCCCTTGCGTGTCCACTTCAAACGCGATGCCGTGGCCACCATGTGAAAGTCAGCTCGGTCAGTTTTGCCTAGCCACAAACCAGGTTCAAACTTGTCACTTCCATTTGCCCTCTTCACTCTAGCCAAAACACGCCCACCAAAGACTGCAACCTTGCCACAATACTTTCTTCCAGTCCTCGTTTCATAGGCTGTTGGTCCGCCTCCTTGTCGCCTGTACTGCGTCAACAACCATCCAGCGCGGCGCATAGCCCAAAGGAACACAGGTGAAGATGGCTTGATGTGCATCTGACTGATGGTCCTTCTTTCACCCCGTGCGCCAATGTCTCTGCCTTTCCCTCCTCGCGTGCTGCGTGCTTGTCACTCATCTCGGCCTCTACCAGCAATGCAGTATTGACACCGTGGCTGATATGGGAAGTGCGTCAACTCATGCACTTGCCTTTGATGGCATTCTTGGGACTGACTGTCCTCTGGCTTCATCTGCTGGAACTCTTTGCGGGACAGCTCGACGCTCAGGTTCCCAGCGAAATGCTGATAGTGATGCACCAGCATCTTCCAGGCCTCTTTCTTGTTCTTGCCTCTGCCTAGCCCGCATTCCTTCAGAGCTCTCCTCAGTTCTCTAGAGGAGGTTTCTCTGAATCTCAACTTCACTGATCTCTGGATCAAGAGGTGCTCGTTGGCGTCCAAATGGGTCACCGTCCTCCAGCGGTTTCTGTTCACCCACCTCCTCTTCTTCATCTTCATCTTCATAGACACCGTCCTCGAAGCTCTTCACAAACCAACCTTCGACCACCTCTGCGCTGCCTTCTTTCTTCTTCTTCTCCTCGAGGTCGAACTTCTTGTAGATGTCAGACCTCAGGAATGGCGAATCATCACCTGGGCTGATCACTCCTAAGGACATGAAGTCGCCCACGGTCTGGAAGAAGCTTACAGTCATCAACTCCTCCCCTTCACACTCTTCGATCTCATCCTCATCCTGCTTCTGTTTGGCAATCTCGACGAATTCCCAAAGTCCGCTCTTCAAGATGACAGTTGACCTGTACGGGAAATCAACTCTGTTGAACTGCGGAAATGAGTCCTTGTAGAACTTGGTGCTCAAAGTGACCAGAAATGGAACACGCCGATCAGCAGTGAGGTGCCATCCAGCTACATCCAACAATGACTTCAGCAATCCCTGAAACTCCATGGTCACTGCTCTCACCTTGTTCTCCTCCTCCTCGGGCTGGTTCTCGACAACATCTTCACCAACCTTTCGAATTCTGGCGTCCACAACCAAGGAGTTGTGTCTGAACTGCAAGCACTTGCTGAACAAACCATGAGTCAGGCGTACAACCTCTTCTCAGCAGCTTGCCCATTGCAAGGAGGGGTTCTTTGACATTAGACAAGGCAAAACCCCGTGTGGCCTTCTTCGTCTTCAAGCTCAATCATGGCCTGGCGCACGCCGCTGCCGCCATTTGTCATCTTGCCTCCTTGAGCGTCCCTCAAAGAAGTCACCCGATCTAACGGGAATCCCACTTCCCGGTAGCTCATGGGAAGCACCAAGACGTCAGCACCTGTATCGAGGGTCACCGTCGCGCCACCTTCTCCAGCAACACTTCTAACAAAGCTCACCTTCTTCTCTCCTTTCTTCTGGGGCCTTGAACCTCCATCCATCTTCTCCTCAACCAAGTCCTCATAGCCCATGAAGTAGGCTTCACCTTGGCTTTCACTTGGATAATTGAACATGATCCAATCCTCATCGTTGTCACTATGTCTCAGTCCCCACCATGCGGACATACTCAATGGCGGTGTCCTGATCATCCTCGTCATCCAGGATCACTGTCTCGACCCTTCTCACGGTCTTAGTGCCTGTCGATGGCGTGGCTGTTGAAGCCTGGGCAGCGCTTGCACTGTCTCGCACAGATGTGGTCACTGTGGAAGCCGTCTCACTGACCTGCCTCAATGTCCTCCTAGGGCGTTCCCTGCTCCAATGGCCCTTTCCACCACAGAGCTTGCAAGTGTTCTGCGGCAGACCCTTGCCCTTTCCTTTGCTTTCTTTGCCCTCGCCATCTTTTCCTTTCTGCTGCTTGCCTTTGCCCTTGACGTCCGTGTTGACATAGTTGCCATAGCCTTTCCCCTTCTGCTTGTCGTTGGACTTGCCGCCTTTGTCCTTTCCCTTTCCTTTTCCTATCTCCTTGCCTTTCACTCTGTCGACATGTATGGGGGATCATCTCATCGTTCTTGTCATGGTCTTTGATGGTGGTGGCCAACTCCTTGTAAATGGCCTGGCTTCCCCATGAAGCCGTGGTTCGCTCATAGGCTAACATCTTCTCACTGGCCTCCTTGTAGCTGGTGTCCTCAGTCATCTGCAGCTGTAGGTGTTGTCTCACCGATGCCGGCATCACCCTCAGCAAAACACCGAGCTTCGTGTTGTCGCTGATGTCCTCTTTGGCCACCTTGGCATACTCTTCTGCCAGCATGGTCATACCTTTCTCCTTCGTGAAGGTCGGGTGCGAGAAAGGCCTGAAGCAGTGCAATCGAGCGAGACCTGGTCTTGGGGGCCAGCAGTGTGGACAGTTGGCGCCACACTTCACAGCCATTGCGGCCTTCCACTGCCCTCTGCAGCTTCAGTGGCCGATTCCGCAAGAGCCCAACCAGGATGGCGTAGAGCTTCTCTGACCTGGCCTGCTCTTCTTTGCTCATGCTCGTGAGCTTCACCTCTTTGTCTCACCCTTCTATGGCCTCAATCTCTTTGCGGTAAGCATCCTCTGCAAACACAATCCAGCTTTTAAAGGTCAGCCGCCAGTCCTGCCATTGCGAGATCTCTTCTTCCACGCTCTTCGGCTCGAATGGCTCCGGTGGTCTCATGACCTTGCTGGCCGTTGCAAAGCCTTCTTCCCATCCTTCTCCTTCATCTCTTTCAGGGTCCGCACGGCCCCTTGCATGGGCCATTGCCGCAGACTGCTGTGAAGCAGCCACCAAGGCTTTTTTGCCACCTCTTCATCCATCTTCTTTTTCTTCACTTCCTTCTTTCTTTCTTCTTCACTTTCTTCTTTCTTCCCTGGGTCTTCGCCTCTTCCCGGGGTATCTTTATCGAGCCTTCCCGGGTCGGCTCCGCTACCATGAAAGCATAGCGACGCACAGTGAAAGCGCTCCTTTTCTCAAGTGATCTTGAGCACACACAGTGATAGGCGGTACTGGAGTCGTGTTCACACTTTTTGTGAAACTTAAAGCATTCACGGTCTGCAAATTTGATTTCCATTTCCGCTTTCCACATGTTGATTTCCAAACGGTGAGAAGTGCCGTCGGCAAATTCCAAAGAAAATGCCTTTTCCTGTCAAATGAAAAGCAAGTATCATGTGTGTGTGGGCACAGTTTGCAGGAAAGAAGATGAAAGAAGTGAGAAAGTACAGCTGGATCTCAAAGAGTACAGGAGACAAGCGCAGCGGAGGAAATTCGTATATATATATATATAATATAGAATATGATTCTGCTGGGGCTTGCTGCAATCTGATTCCTGGGCCCCACGCTCTTTTCATTGGTGGCTTTGAACATTTTGAACACCTCAAGCTTTGCATTTCATTGGTCTTTTCATTTTCATTTCAAAGTATTACAGTAATTGTCCTGTAAAACGTTGAATTCGAAAGGCGCGGAAATTTCCGCAGCTGGGAGTCTGACGGAGGCACGTTGGCCTGCCATCTTTTCCAATCGTTGTCCAGCTGCTCAGCAAGATCTTGCCCCAGCTGGCGGAGAAACAGTAGTTGGACCACGGGAACACAATGCCTCGGACAACTGCGGCAAATAGCAAACAGCGCTTCAAGCAGTTCTGGGCAAGATTTGTTCATTAAATGCCTCAACACTGAAAACAATCCACAAAACATCAGGCAAGAAACATCCACGCTTCCAGCTGGCCATGTACCCAGCATCCATGTGGGCCACGATCATGCGCGACCCAAGTCATGACGAGTGTTTCTGGCTTCGAGAATTTGGTTAAGAGCCGACTTGCGACTGAACCAAACTACAAAGTGTATACAAAGGCACCGGCCCACCCGCCATAACAATATGCGGCAAGTCTGGCAACTACCCACGAAGTATACGGCAAGTAATTAGCTGTACGAAGTATGCGGCAGGAGGATCAAAATTGGTGATTTACAAAGTCCTGAAGCTGCGCGACGGGCTTTGAACCGCAAAGAGTCCGCTGCAGAAGGACATTCATCAGGCATCAAAAAATTCTGAAGGAAAGAACTGGATCACTATCAAACTAACAAAACTTAACATGGCCACAAACCTCGCCATTCTTAATCAACCACGAACAATGAAAACAATGAAACCAACCAATACATCACGCGCATTGGGCATCAACATAAACAAAGGGAATAATTTTGCAAACCCTCGTTCCAGTATGTTCCTATTGATGTTATTATTGCTTGCCCGGCTTTGACGCTGGAATCCAGGAGATCTTTGGTTTTCATCTGCACTCTTCGCTCATGAGAGGCTGGCGATGTTTTTAAGGAATTGTTTCGCGCTCTTTTTTGGATTTTTTCTGGTAGCGCTTTCACATCGTGGCCCCGTGGCCGGCATAGCATTTTGAGTACCTTCAGTTGCTCACTTTGTGGCAGGCGGAGCATTTCGTGAACCTCGAAGTGCAGATTTCATTGCAGGCGCAGCACTTCGTGAACCTCGAAGTGCAGATTTCGTGGCAAGCACAGCGCTTCGTGAACCTTCAAGTGCAGACCTCGTGGCAGGCGCAGCACTTTGTGAACCTGGAAGTGCACCTTTCGTGGCAGGTGGCAGGTGCAGCGCTTTGTGAACCTGGAAACCTTTTTGCGGCAAGCGCAGCACTTTTTTGAACCTCAAAGTGCAGATTACACTTTAGAGCTCACGCGTGAAAGAATGAAGCAATGCGAGGATCACAGCTGGAGCAAGGAAGCTAGGGGCAAGGACAAAGCGCGCCTTTTTTCGCGTCGGCTGGTTCACATCACTTTGGATATCCTCTCGGCAGCGGGTATGGGATTAAACAACAACAAAAAGGAAATCAGTCAACGGGGGAATCAAAAATATATTCTAGCCCAATGAGGATGGTTGAGGCTGAGCATCGGCTCAAAAGCCTTCAACAGAAACACATCGGACCAGGCAGACACAAAAGAACGAAAGGATAGACATGCTGGACATTGCTGAGGGGCGCGCTATATCAACCACCTCTGTGGCCTTGTCACAGCTTTTACAGTATGGAAACTATAACTACTTGCAGCCTTGTTATAGCATTCACTGCGCAGAGGTGTTGGAAGCTAAGGTCGGCCCTATCATCCGCCTATTTTGCATTGCCACAGTGTTTAGAGCAGAATGGGGGGGACAGCAGCAGCCACCTCAAATTAAGGACCAAAAACAAGGACTAACACGCCAACACTCCAAAAATGTGCCAAACAATGGCATGCGCAAGTCTCCAGCACCCCCCAAACATATGGCCAATCAGGAACAGGCAGCAAAGACACTGAATTGAAAGCCTTCAAAAGTTAGATGGCCCGGTTTGGTTCCGCAAGTGCCCTGCGTGGAGGCGATATACTTTGACAAAAAGGAAGCGCTTCACACCTGCTTCAAGATCAGGAGCAGACAATGAAAGGATATGTGACAAGTTCCCGAAAGTTCCCAGAGAGACTTAGACGACGTGCAATATGTGATCTGCAAGTGCGATGGGCGACCCTTTACATAGTTAGTTTTCGTGGCAGGCGCAGTGCAAGAGTGCAGATTTCGTCGTGCTGGAGAGGGGTTGGGGGGAGGGCGCAGCGCCTCCCCCCAAAGCGAACCAAACGTTAAAACGCAGCACCACAAAAGAAATCACTAGAAACTATAAACCCTATCGCCCCCTCAGTGAAGGGCATCTAAAATCTAAAAGTGCACAGAAGGATCTAACGCAACCGAAGCCAAAAGCATTGTACGCTTGCAAGAAAACTGCGACCAATAAGCTACGACCAAAGGCATCAAAAAGCATCAGTGAAAGAAACAAAGAGAAAACCGTAGGAAACCCGCAGACCAGAGGACCAGGAGTGCAAAGGACGAGGACCAAAGGACCAGGGGGCCAAAGGGCCTGTGGGGGACCAAAGGACCAAGGGACCAGGGGACCAAAGGACCAGTGGACCAGCGGACTAAAGGACCCGCAGACCACAGGGCCAGGAGAGCAGCAAAAGACGCCTATCAAGGATTTTTGTTGTTGATCCTTTATTGTTATTACCTGTTTTGGATCCTTTTATAATTGTTGATGCTCTTTATATATATATATATATATTTTTCTTTTGATCTAGATGCCCTCGGCAGCGGTCATGCCCTGGCAACATAGCAAGATGGTTGGAAATAAGATGATCAAAAGAAGAATCCGAGACATGCTCCAAAAGCCACCAAAAGCCAACACCCGCCAAACGCCAGAAGCCGCCAAAAGCCAAAAGCCGCCAAAAGCCAAACGCCACCAAAAGCCAAAAGCCAACAAAAACAAACAGCCACTCTTGAAACAACTATGTGTGTTTTCTTGGCAAACAACCAAGAGCAAACGGAGCAACAAAATGACACACACACATACATTTTGTAATCAACAATAGACAATACGTAGTTTACATCTTGCATCCTTCAAGTCGCTTTGTGATTTTGTCCTAAGTTTGGCCATAGTATAGAGGGCACACCCGGAAAAAAACCTCTAGACTCTAGCGCAATCACTGCTCCAAAAGAACAATGTACTTGAGCAAAACACCGTGATCTCATTGGATGCCTGCTTCCGCAGGTGTCTGCATTTTGAAAGGCGTTCAAAACTTAATGTTGCGGCGCGCAGGTCAAACTTACAAAACGATTACACGTTCACAGAATGCCTGTTCCAGTCATTGACACTGAAGGCCATGAACTTGTGTTCCACGTCACTACTGCCCAATGCAACCAATGCAAGGAATCAAACCACTTGTCTTTGGCCGCCAATGCAAGCGAGAAGTTTGCAAACGTAACATTGATGGTGGATGATGATGTAAAACTATGTATGCCCAAACTTGAGCAGTCTTTCTCACCAACCACAACCCTCTCAAATTGACTGTTTGCCAGCGGAAAATGTTCCACCCCAGCTCTGTGACATAAAGTGAGGTGACGCATCGATTCTATCCTGTCACTTGTCAAGCGAGTCGACGTCTTGAACGTGGAAGTCGCAATACAAAGGCATCCTTGATTGATTGTAGCTGCAAACATAAACTGCTCGGCCAGGTGCTTTGGCAACGCCCAAATCTCGTCCTGTTTCGAACTGGACACGTACTTAGACCCCTGCACAGCACCGTCCGAAAAATGAACTACAAACCCACCATACGTGTTCTTGTCCTTGTTGAGTTCTGAGTAGGAGGTCCATATTATCCATCAGCGGCTAGGCTCTGAGAAATGTCCACGCCACTGGATGCTATAGTGCGAGTCCACACGTTTTTGCCGTCTGAAGTGAACTTCGCGACACAAGCATCCATGTCTCCCATTTGGTCCTGTTCTCCAGTCAAGAGAAGTAGATGTTGCCACCATCTTGCGTGACATCATTTGCATATGTGATGGCATCCGTCTCCAAAATAGACGTCCAAATCTCTGACCCATCTGGCAACAGCTTGGAGACAAACGGTGTCTGATCCAGCGGAGATTTTGCAGGGCGCAGCTTTTGGCAATTGCTTCCCACCACGCAGTTGCTTCCCGGCCTCAAAAGTTTACTTTCAAAATTGGTGGGCGCAAACTGCATCGCTTTCAAACAACAAAACCCGTAAATCTCGGAAGCGAAGCGGTGACCGTGGACGAAAGGTATGTGAACAAGGTATGTGGGGACGTGGCGACAATCGGAGTCAAATGAGGTTAACATGGCGCTGTCACCGCTTTTGTGCGTTTTTGGTTTTGCAAGGTGGAGGTGTTGACAATCGTATGGCCCCGCAACACCCCGGACGAGACTGCGCTTGGGCTGGCTGTTTGGGGATTGGATGACCCGAGCCGGACGGATGTTGCAGTGTTGCCGTTGATTGAGATGATTTGCTCACCAAACGATGCATGTGAACGGAAGAGAACGACGGACTTGTCTACTCGTCTGACTCTGACGTTGTGCAACTAGCACCTTAAAACCTTGCATGTGCGCCGTGCAAGTTGCACTGTTCTGTGATCGTTGCAGAAGCGAACTGCAATGACGTCGACCAACCACGACCAAGTCGAAGCAAGCATCATTGAACCAAACACCCGGGTCCACATGAATTGCCCATAACACAGCCACTCCTGTAACGATATGCGCTAAAGGTGTCGCGATCCTCGTTGTGCACGACACGAAACCATGAAATGCTTCGTAGTCACGCGGAAAACGGGGTTGGGAGTTGACACCGCCTATCACGTCGTCTGCCCCGGCCACGGACAGTGGAATGTCAAATGGGGATGGGGAGGTGATCCGAACTTTGCCTGGGCCCAGTTTTGCATCCGTCGGAAGCACCCTGGTTCTCTGAAACCAAATTGCCATCACTGTCTTGCAATCAATGTCTTGCAAGCTGAGAACTTCCAAGCAAAAACCTGTCCAACGGCTGAATCCATCGAACCAAAGGTTCAATTTCAAAATTATCCGTCCAACTTCAACCGAGCCACGGTCCATGACCGGCGATCCGCGCGCCTGGATCAGTTTAAACACTTCGGAGAAACCAGAAATTATTTTCCAAACAGCAAGAACATGCAAGAATGTTGGACCAAGTGGCGACATGTTCAGGGACATTTTGACGCTTGTGGCATTCTCGCGCTGGGCGCCTCTTTCTTCGATCTGGCCGTTCTCAAAAAAACAATAACGAAACAGAAAAACAAACATAACAAACGCATCAGCCCGCCACGCAACTCGTCAAGCACGTCCTTGATAGGGCCCACGTGTTTCATGCACTTCGCGTGGCACTCGTCCAGCTCAAAGAGTGTGCAGAAACTCTTGCCAAGCACCTTGGAAACTAGGAGTGGCCCCAAGTTACATATCAATTCCTATACGGTTAATTGAAGGAAAAGAAGGCTTGTGAACAGGGGAAGAGGCACAGGACCCCGCCGTTGACCGCATGTCTTTAGCAAACAAAACACATGTACACTTCTGCTATACATCGTAAACAGAATCTTCCATCGAGCTCCTTCTGTGCTTGACACATGGGGTTGTGTTGGATACAACTAAGCAAACTCAGCCGAGCAACAGTTCAAGTGTTGCTGCCGAGTTTGTTCTTGGATGACACTTTGCGACACCTTGCGAGCATTTGCAACATCCACAACCTCAAGCAAATCTAAGTCACATTGCAAAGTTCTGCTCGATCGGCAATCGTCACAGCTAGGCCTACCATTCGACAAACCATAAAGTCTTCGTATCCGACGCTCACCTCGAAGATTTGGTGCTTGCAAAGACCTCGAGTCCCAAGTTCCGTCGGTGGAACAAAGCAAACACTTCAAACGGTCCAAGCAGTTATTCGTTTGCGAAAGCTTTCATGTCGTCCCGTTGAGGATTCGGTGCTTCGTTTGACGGCCATTGGCTTTGCACGTGATCTCTCTCCAAGAGATCTTGGTTCGCTTCTCAGCCGTGCTTGAAGAAACACATTTATGTTAGCAAACCACATTTGTTTACTCGTTCTGGCAGCGTGTGTGCTCTTCAACCTTGGCACCTGACCTGCCATTGTCCAGTTTGCTGAGGTAGCCGCCCGAACACATCAAAACACAGCAGCACTGTTTACAGGATGGCAAATCATGGCAAATCTTGCTTTGAAGGTTTCGATTCTCAAATAGATTCAGCATGTTTCAGCCTAGTGGTGCGTCCGCATCCTCTGAGGCTCGAACAAGCTCAAGATCCTAAGACCAGCTTGAAAAACGGAGCAAAAGACGAACTTGAAACATCACAAACATCATGAACATGCTTGACAATGCACGACAATGTCAAAAACTTGGAGTGGCAAGTCTCCAACACCAAAAGAATTGATCTGCGCAGAGTCATCACACGTCGAACAGGCTTTCGATTCAGGAAACTTCGATGCCGAAAGTCGTCCACAAAAAGCACGTCGCCCAAATCTGTCCGTCATTCCGTCCACCTTGATTCTTCATCTCTTCACCTTTCACAACGGTTTTTTCGTCCGATTCTTCCAGATGGAATGGCGCCATGAACCGCAAGGGAAAACAACCGTAGACATGGCTCGAAAAGGACACACACACACACACACTGTGAGCATTTAAAGGACATCACATTATGGCAAATGACATCATCAAAAGATGCTTAAAAGTACGACTTGAAGAACAACAAAGTGGACAAAGAAAAAGGATGAACAAGGTTGAAGAAAAGCAGAGTGGACACAGAATGGAACAGAGGTGACCTTCTACTTGGCCAAGAAGGTCATGGTCGTAACTTCTTCAAGGTTGTTTCGCATCAAGCTGCTGGCGGAAAACAAGCACCGCAGAGAGATTCGAAGTAAACGGTGAAGCGGCGTGGGGAGGACAAACGACGCGCAAATCCATAGGTACGCATGTTTTTTCAAGAATAACCAGCTAAGCCAAAGACGCGCCGCGTCATGTTCGAAGTCAAAGTTGAACATGTTAACCAAGCAGAACCGTCGTAGCCTCGGCGGAGATGAGGCGGACAAAAGGGAATGAGGCTTCAGACGTCATATGCGCTTCAAGTTCGACTTTGTTTCGTTTTTCTTCCACATATGCTCTTTCGTAGATCGTTCTTTCGTTCTGTGTAGACACTGTGAACTGACGTATCTTCAAACCTCAGTTCCTGACACTGCCGAGACGCCAAAACGGGTCGAAGGCACGCTGCCCTTGTTCGACCTCAATGCATGCGCCGTCGCCAAGAAGCAGCACAGCTTGCCACGTGAAGCAGGCTTGCCAAAAGTTGTCTTGTCGTCTCGCTGGCGGCACTGACTGAGTCACCGACTTTGACAGTCAACTTTGACAGTACATCTTGTTTCCCACGACGGCACCATTGTTCTCGCGATCAGCTGGAACCTTGTGCAAACGCATCCCTGTGGATACAATTGGAGCGAAGACCAAAGGGACCCTCTGCACAATGGGCAAGGTCACATGGTAAAATAGCATGGCAAACTGCTATCTGATGATTAAAGGATATTAAAGGCAACGGTTCGATTTCCAATGCATTGCTTTCCCTGCAGTGCCGACCTTTAAGCCCCTGGCACAACTCAAAGGAATAAATCGCTTGGTCCAACACCTGATCCAAACTGTCGACTCAGTCTACCGCCCAAACAAGCGGGAAAACGTCAATCTTTGCAATATTTTGTTGCTTTTGCTGGGGAAAGCGTCGTCTGGGAAGTCGAAGAGGTGTCGTCTAGCCGACCTTCCGCATCAGTCGACCTTCGTCGAGACAAGTTCTGATAGTCCAGTCTGCACTGCATCCTCGGCCCCCAGTTGGTCCGTTCCATGAGTGGAGCTCTGAAGAAAATTTAGTTGAAGTCTGATGTGATATGTTTTCACTTATCAGATTTCAACCACAAATCTTGCTTGGGGTCTTAGACAAGGGCCACTTCCGCCATAGCCTCCGCCATAGCCTACAGCGCATCCTGCAACAAACACAGCTGTGCTGTACGACAGCCAGGTGCTCTGCCAAAAGCAACAAACATGATAAAATTCCCCCGTAGACGGAAGACTCCTGGTAGACCACACTGGATGCACTTCTACAGCTCATCAGCCTGTCTCAAAACTTCCCTGCAGCTCGGCAGCCTCCAGAACGATTCACAAGCAGACGCCTAAACCATCCTGAAACCAAAGTTCAAGCCATAAAAGGTGGTTTAAGAAAACCTTCCAAAAACAACGTTAGACCTTGAAACCTTTGTTCCCCTTTCTTACTTTCAGGCTGTCCCATCCCAGCATGCCACATTCTCAGCTCCGAACGTCAACTGTGCAAAAGCAGAATGCCAAACTGTGGCTCGCGGCACAAGTGTGCGGAGCCAAAAAGCTTGAAGAACGTATGCCGATCTCTCATGGCGAAGCAAAGACATGGCAAAGTGCATTCTCCGCATTTGTTTCACTCCTTGGCATTCGCACTCGTCGCATTGGCTGCAAGTCGAATTACCACGCTGCACGCTTCTTGGATTGGATGTTGTTGCTCTGTCTTTTGGAGGTGGTGCAAAGGATCTTCTTGGCATGAGAGAGACTTGACTTGCTAGGCCAATATCAATGGTGTGCACAAGTCTAACGTGCAGCATGAATGGAACTAAGGAGTGGTGTGGCCCTTCAGTTCCTGAGGATCCAATCAGAACAAGGACATGATCTGAAAGCCCACTCAAAGCCAAGCCTATTGAGAACACCTTCCGCGAAATAAAACAAAATCAAGCGCAGTTGTAACCTGCTCTTCAGTGATTCTTTCTGCGTTGATGACAGAATAGTGTGTTGCCATTCATGCTTGCAATAGAGGCAATGCCGGGGTCTCTTGACAAAACACTTTTTGGCAAATCGTTCTTGCTTTTGAGCGACCTTTCTCATCATATGTTGTCCGCTCAGAGTGCACAGTGGTGTGTGTATTGGATGTTTACCTGGTTGCTGTTAGCGTAGACCATTTCAGCTGCTGCACTTTGAGTGTCAATTTTAGGCCATCTTTCTTATTTGGGTCTGTCCATTTAATGTGCTCTTTTCGCTTTGTCGTTGGACCTGCAAACCTCTCTTCCTTGATGGTTTCTTATTGTCATTGTGCCTTATTTCTTTCTTTGGTTTCATGGATTGCGGCCAAGAAGCTTTTCAATGCCCCGCTGCGGGCGCATGCATACCGATAGTGAGCAGCGGGTCAGATGAGCACGATGCTCTTCAAAAAGTCTTGATGGTGTCAAGCAAACCCTTTCTTCTTTTGGTCCTTTTGCTTATCTTTGTCTTTTGCGTTTGGTCCTTCTCTCCTATTTACACCTTTAGACCTTCCTTTTGTCTCTCTCTCGCCTTTCTTCCTTCCTTCCTATATGAAGGGAAATGAAGTGGGCCAGCATGGGATGACATTGAATGACATTCAGTGCGAGGGGAGGCAGAATAAAGGTAAACATGATGCCCAGGAAAGTGTCAGACCACAAGAACAAAAGCAAGAACAAAGGGCAGCAGCAAAGGCAGCAAAGGATGGTGGCGAAATCTGAACTGCTCTGCAGTCGGGTGCGAGTGCAGCCCGATGGATGCACTGCAAAAGGCACAACAAAGTGGTTAGGACAAAGCATGAAAAGCCTTCTTGCACTCCTCTCGTTCAAAAATGCCGTGTGACCCTTGCGTTCAATCAAACTGCTTCCTGCGCCAGTTTAAACCTGCTTGGAGACCCTATAATGCTTTACGATCGAGCGTCCTGAACGTGTGGTCCTTAGCAGCTGTACTTATGGCGCTTCTGTTACCTCTCGCCTCTCTTCAAATGACATGTTTTCTCTGAAATCTTAGGTGTAGTGTGACTTACTGGATGGAGGCCCTATTGTCTTTTGGGTCCCCCAAAAAGAAGAAACTGCTCTTCAGGTGCTAAAACAACTCACTAAGGTCAAGTCCATCTTCCAAGTGTTGTGTATTGCTCTGTGCAACGTCGGTGTCCCGCACAAGTGCATCAACCTGAAGCGGCAAAACCTGTTGTCCTGCAAAACCTGTCCTGGCTGCTCTGCAGGCTCGATTGCCGCTCAACTGCGTCTGGTCAAATTGCGATTGGCTCCTCCAGACCAGGAGCTTTGCGGACGGCCAGACCATTGGAAATCCTTTGCTTGGGCCCAAGAATCCTTCCTCTTCGCCTGCCAGGCATGCCATGGGTCCTGTTTCTGCCAAGGATCTTCGGTCCAGGCGTCTTTTTGGGTCTGACGCCAGGCATACTGCTGCTGCCATTCCTGCGTCGCCTCCTGCTTCGCTGGGTCACTCCAATCCCACTCTGGCTCTGGCACTGCTGCCTCCACCGCACCATCCTCAGCTCCCCAACCATTCTCGTTCCCCGTCTCCTCTTCATTCCAAACTTGAGTCTTATGGTAGCTGTCCACCGCATCCTTCAAGTCAGGTTTCACTGTTTGGTCTGTGGCTTTCAGCACATCCATCAGAAACAGCTAGGACTTCATCTCTTGCCAACTTGACTTGTCAATGAAGCTCATCGCGTAGCCTTTGGCTCCACCACTAGTTCGCCCTATTCGGTGGATATACTCTTCAGGCGCACTGGGAAGATCATAGTTGAAGACAAAGCGCACCTTTGGGATGTCGCGAGCCAAAACCCCTGTGGAAACAACGCAGGGGACTTCACCACTCCGAAATCGTTTCATAGCGGAATCCCGCTCATGTTGCCACAGTCCGCCGTGCAGGCAGGCAACCATGGAGTCGTTGTCATTCCAAAGAAAATACTCTTCCTTCAGCCGATCGAACAAGCGTTGCACTCCATCGCGAGTCCTGCAAAAGATGATAGCCTTGCTATCGTCTTTGAATGCTTCTGGAGATTGCAACTTCTCCTTTAGCTTTTCGTATTTGTCCTCTTCTCCATCCACGATCTGGGTGTGTTGTTCAATGAACTTGCAGGCTGCAAGTAGGCTGCCACCAATGCGCACAACCACTGGCGGCATTCCCTCACTGGATGTGCAAATCTCCTGAGCAAATAATTTGACCTCTTCTGGCCAAGTGGCCGTGAACATCAGAACTTGGCGCTCCTTTCGCACTTGTGACAGAATGAGCTTGATCTGATCATCGAACTCCTTCTTGAGCATCTCGTCTGCTTCATCGATGATCACATAGGTGGCCCTGTTGAGCATAACACAACCATCGCCCAAGGCATTCATAAATCGCTGTGGTGTTGCCACCTGATTACGAGGGCGAAAGCAAGAGCATCTAAAGGCAGCTGATACTGAAAAGAACGAAATCAATTCTTTTGTAAGAGTACGAGAAGAAGGATGATCTCTGGAAATGTTCTACTTTGTTCAGTGTTGTATGTCTTTCTTTTTCGTTGCAAACAAACTTTATGCTGCTGTGTTTTTGCGGCGTGATCGTCTATTTTGGAGTATGTGTGCCAGTTTTATATCATTTTTGTGGGCTTCTTGGTGAGATTCAGCTTTGTGGACAGACCTTGGTTTGCTCCACACTGCACCCTACGAAGCAATCTACTACCAAGAACAAAGGGGAGTCACAGTGGAGGAATTCAACACAACCTCTGCAGCCCGCAGTATTGGAAACATCCATCCGTGTCAAACCTAGTTTCAGTCTGTGTTTTGGAGACTTGTCTTGAAAAGTGAGGTGTACTAAGGTGTACTCACGAGAGGCAAAACCAAACATATCAAAAACCGGCAAATGAAAAGTGTGGAAACAAGCGTCGTGAATCACAATTTCTCTCACGCACAATACATAATGTTAGCCAAACCGCCACAATGTCATTCTTGTCCTCGAGCCACTCCCTCTGCTGGCGAGGAGGAGTCCCGCCAACAATGGTGCAGTGCCAGCCATAGAGGTCGCATTGCGCTTTTGTGTCTAAGGCCAGCTCGCGGGTGGGAACAAAAATGAGAGCCACAGGCCCATCACCAGCCTCCAGCAATTCCTGGGGGATGTATAGTACAATAGTCTTTTGTGCAGTCAACCAAATGGCAAAGGCCAAAAAGACTTGGACCATACAAACAAGTGGCTTTACATACCCGCGAAAATGATTCTTGGTCACAATCGCACGCCAGCCTGATAGCAGATATGCACAATACATTCAAGACCATGAAGTGATCCGACACAAAACCTGGCGTCTGTTGCATCCAAAGCCGTTTCAGCCCATCCAAACAGCCCCCACAGTAGCACGCCATGAGCGCATCTCGGGTTTGACTGAGCACTCGTTCCTAGTAGCTTTATTGTTACTACTAGTAGGGCACTTGTTACTAGAAGCGATGCACTTGTTCCTAGTAGCTTTATTGTTTCTACTAGCATGTGTGTCTTGTAGAAGACTTTGTTGACTCAACATTACATATCCACTTCGTCTGCCGGTCTCAGCACAATCTCTGAGATCTAGTGCTATTTGACATGGCATCAATTCGGCCAGAAGTAAAGTGAGCCATCGCTTTTGCTAACGGAGGGGCTTGGAGTTCTTGGAAATGGGTGTTTGGTTGTCTGCATGCTTGCTTCAAACTTCGGATGAACACACTTAAAATATAATCAAACAATTTGAAACTGTCAACCATTTTCATTCTGCGTAGATTTGGACTTCTACACACATGCACAAAGTCGTTGAATCGCTGATACGCGTCGATGCTTCTGCTGCGCACGTGACTAATGAACTTACTGCGCTTAGCTCACGTAGCTGACTACGCCGCGTGAACTTAACCACTTGGCTTGTTCGAACTTAGCTAAGATGTTGCAAGCCCATTAATTACCTGAATGACGCGCGCAGTGAGTGATTGTTTTTCCTTAAAATGCAGTCCGATGGAGCCTTGCACCACACGCTTTTCCAACACTTTCACTGTCGGCTCGGCCCTTCTTTTCTTCCGCAGAAATGAACGGCCACAGGTCCCAACGACTTGGAAGTCGTCGAAGTCGAGCAATCAGTGTGGTGAGATGAGTCGAGGCTTGACGAAAGGACTTTCTTATCACCGGCAACGGCGAGGTAGCCCACCCCATCACCGTCATCGCCTCCTTGTAGCACACTGTTTTTCTAATTTCATTAGCACACAGAACTGACAAAGAGGGGCATCTCCTTCTGTCTTGAAGGGGATAGAAGCCTTCAAAACACTCTGCATAGGTGCAGTGTTCAGACTGAGCTTTTGGAGGGCAACTCTTCAATATTGCAATTCAATGTGCTAGCGGCCTGCATGCCCGGCACTCTCCAAATCCACGCAACATGGCGAAATTCAAAACAACGCCTTAAGAATAGACATCTCGTGTCGGAGTTGTCTTGGTTAGGAATGAGAATATCTGCCTCTCCCAAGCAAAGAAACAATGTATTTCCCAACACGCCATCTGGCATTTCTTCCACTTCGTCTGCCTTGCGTGCTCGGTTGGGTTGGCACTGTGCAACTTGGTTGAGGAGGGTGTAGCTGCGACAAGTGACTTGTCCGTGTTGAATTTGAATCTTCGTCCGTAATTCTCCCTGACGAAGTGACTTGTGTCCTCTAAGGCTAGCTGGCTAGCTTCGTCCCTTTCATCTCCCTACGTCCGACAAAGCAGTCCTCCGACACGACAGTAGCTTGAACGAAACACGAAACACCAAATGGCAACACACTTTCACGAAAGTTATGGACGCACAATGATCTTTTTTTAGCACCAGGTGCAAGCGAGGAGGAAATCCTAGCCACTATCTTCATGATTCAAACGGGAAATCCTTAACTCCGAAGGATCAAACATGTCGGATATCACAGACGAGGATGGTGAGCAAAGAAAAGCGTGGCGATCATCGCCGAAAGCCAAAGTTGAACATTGTACACTCTTGACGATTCGACATTTCACTCGAAACCAGAGTTTCTTCCAGCCATCTTGCTTTTACTGGCGGCTGTGCATCTTCCCCGACAACGTTTTAACCTAGTCCGGTTCAATTCATGCCAGGCTGCATTTAATGGTTGCAAGAAAGGAGCATAAAATCTTCTGGCAATGTTTCGTTTTCTGGCTGGGACACTGTACATACTTAGCGATGGCGACACTAGCCTAGTACCGGCTCAATGCGTGCCCTGCCAAAATGGGATTTTGTCTCCCAGAAATCTTGCATTTCTTGCTTGGGCACTATACACATTTGGGCTTGGTGTTCTCCCAGCCAAGTCCAGCCTCAATGCATTTGAACTTGTTTTTCCTGCTTCGGGCGCACACACACACACACACACACTCCAAACCCTTTTCAATATCGAATCCAGCCTGGTCCTGTTTCAATGCATGACTGGCGTCCATTTGCTCGCGCAGCACGTGAGTTTAGTCTTCCAGCAATCTTACTTTTCCCGCTTGGGGCACAGTGTATCTTTGATGTCGATACCCTAGTCCTGTCTCGATGGCTTCCATTTGTTTGCACAACATGCGAGTATTATCTTGCAGCAACTTGTTTTTCATGCTTGAACACAGTCCACCTTTGCTGATATTGATGCCAGCCTAATCTGGTCTCAATGCACGCCTGGCTCTATTGCTTGTGCAAAGAAGGATTCGGTCTCATGCCAACCTGTCTTGTTTTGCTTGCTTGGGGCATTGTGCATATCTTTGCTGATGCCGATGCCAGCCTAGTCTGTCCGAATCCATGCCAGGCTCCAGTTATTTTCTTGCCAAAAACGTGGGCTTAATCTTCTAGTAATCTTGATTTTGCTGCTTGGGGCACGGCACATCGATACCAGCCTAATCTGGTCTTAGTGCATGCTCTGCTGTGTTTGCTCGGCTGAAGGGCTACTTTTCTTCACGCCAAGGCAGCAGTTTCCATTTTCCGCAGATTGCAGTTGCGGCAAGGTTTCTGGCCAAACTTTTGGCTGCATAAGACCAAAAATCATGCTTGCTCGGTCGCACTTGGCTCCGCTTGATTGTCAAAGAATGGACCCCTAACTCATGTTCGAGACCCAAAAATGCGTTCGGCGTTAAGCGATCTTCGGACAAAAACACCACTAGTTATTCAGCGAAGGAGTCGAACGAAGTCACGCTGTCCGCATCTTGTAGCGGAGCTCAAAGCATCCAAGGCGCTGGAGCGAATCTCGTTTCGCACAAAGCGGAAAGGACGACGAAGCGATTCGATGCGATGCGATTTGAAGAGGCTCAAGCTCTCGGCCCAGTCAGTCGAGTGTTTTGAGGAACAAAGCAGAACGGTCACAAGTTGGTGTGACAGTTGTCACGTAGCTCAGCTGCGCTTCGTGCAAGCACCAGTCCACATTGCTATTTGGGACGTCTAGGCTCTAGATTTTGGACTGCAATCTATATGTTCCAGAAGGCCCTCAATGCAAATGCCGATCACAAATCAAGAATAAATGACGGAATGCGGTGGCTTTACAAACTTAATGGTGAACCTCAGTGTCTCAAATGTGCAAACGCCATGCGGGCAACGTGCATTGGCTATACCGGCCCGGCATGGTGTGCTGGTTGAATGCTTTCCACATAATGTCTTTGTGATGCTTTGGATGTCATACCTCACAAGAGAGGTGCTCTTGTGCTCACTTCGCCGAATTCATGGTGCAAAATGGGGCTGGACCTGCTACAACCGAGACAGCAAAGGCTGGCAAGATTGGCTGATGAGTAAACAAAAGAGATCATGACGCTGATGATATGCGCCAAGCTTGGACTGCACTGTGCTTCTTTGTTTGCGCTGCGGACTTGTTCTCGAAACAGTCGAAACAGCTTTCTTGCAAGATTTCACAGCTGCCATATGCCATCTATCTCTTCACTGCCTGATTCTAAAATCATGCTTCCAATTTAAAGGTCTTTTTGCAGGGATCTCTGGGGTGAACCTCCCCAAACGTTGCACGTTGCGTTGTCGCTGCAGCTCAAAGTGTAAGTTGCTGCAAAGGATCACAAATAGGAGTAGCACATAGATGGAGTAGATCTCGGACAAAAAGCCGCCATCTATTCGTTGTTTTGCTACACATGCACTAACTTGCTGACATGTTTTTGGCGCCTTGTGCTTTCGGTCGTTGGTCACTTAGGGACTTAGGTAGGTCTTTGAAGCGGCTCAAGCTCTCGGCCCAGTCAGTCGAGTGTTTTGAGGAACATTAACTCACATCTAAAGCTTTCACATAAACTTAGCCGTTCTTTGGCCCGTTACGTTCTTGCAGGTTTGTGTAGAAGTCTCTTTGTTCTAAACCAACAGGGTCGGTCCGAGAGTAGACTTGAGAACGATTAAATACAAAGTTTCAGTACTGCTCGGGCGCGAACACATTTTCCCCGTCCATCCTTGAGCATGGTTCATCGTTGAGCGAGATGTGTGTACTGGGCGCTTCATTTTGTGTTCTCTCACTCCAGAACTTAACCAATCGCAAGGGTGCTCAGCACTTGCGTCAACCTCCAGGTGAACTTCTTCAACTCTTCAACTTGTGCCTGGTTGCCTCAAGTCAGCACCAGCGCTAACTCAGCTGCGCGAACAGTGCAAGCACCAGTCCACATTGCTATTTGGGACGTCTAGGCTCTAGATTTTGGACTGCAATCTATATGTTCCAAAAGGCCCTCAATGCAAATGCCGATCACAAATCAAGAATAAATGATGGAATTCGGTGGCTTTACAAACTTAATGGTGAACCTCAGTGTCTCAAATGTGCAAACGCTATGCGGGCAACGTGCATTGGCTATACCGGCCCGGCATGGTGTGCTGGTTGAATGCTTTCCACATAATGTCTTTGTGATGCTTTGGATGTCATACCTCACAAGAGAGGTGCTCTTGTGCTCACTTCGCCGAATTCATGGTGCAAAATGGGGCTGGACCTGCTACAACCGAGACAGCAAAGGCTGGCAAGATTGGCTGATGAGTAAACAAAAGAGATCATGACACTGATGATATGCGCCAAGCTTGGACTGCACTGTGCTTCTTCGTTTACGCTGCGGACTTGTTCTCGAAACAGTCGAAGCAGCTTTCTTGCAAGATTTCCAAGTTGCTGCAAAGGATCGCAAATAGGAGTAGCACATAGATGGAGTAGATCTCGGACAAAAAGCCGCCATCTATTCGTTGTTTTGCTACACGTGCACTAACTTGCTGACATGTTTTTGGCGCCTTGTGCTTTCGGTCGTTGGTCACTTAGGGACTTAGGTAGGTCTTTGAAGCGGCTCAAGCTC